GTATATGATCATCTCTCGGGAGATGTTTAACCCTATGTATGCCTTGTTCCGTACCTCACCCGGTGATCGGGTCACCTACACCATCAATCCATCTTCCCACTGCAACCCCAACCACCTCAGCTACTTCAAGTTTGTGGGACGCATTGTGGCCAAAGCTGTATATGACAACCGCCTCTTGGAGTGCTACTTTACTCGGTCGTTCTACAAACACATCTTGGGCAAGTCTGTCAGGTGAGGATGTGACACAGTCCTGGGACTGTCTTCAGTCCTGGGAATCAGATCCTGTTCTTGTGTTCCACCCCAGTCCATGACCCTAATTGTTTTTCTAGATATACGGATATGGAGAGTGAAGATTACCACTTCTACCAGGGCCTGGTTTATTTGCTGGAAAATGATGTCTCCACGCTAGGCTATGACCTCACCTTCAGCACTGAGGTAGGTCAAGAAATCCTGACCGCAGCTTATGCCAGCTAGTCTAGGAAACCCATTCCAGGATCACCCTTAAACTGGCGTTGGGTAACCTCTCCTCGTTCTAAGGAAGCATCTCGACTGTTTTTTTCTTTTGCTGAGGAAGATTCACCCTGAGCTAATATCTGTGCCAGTCTTCCTCTGTTTTGTACATGACTCACTGCCACAGCATGGCTGCCAAGGGGTGGTGTAGGTCCACACCCGGGAACCTAACCTGGGCCTCTGAAGCAGAACACGCTGAACTTAACCACTAGGCCACAGGGCCAGCCCCACATCTCTATTTCTTAAAGTCCCATGCCTCCTTCCTGATCCAGCAGAGAGCAGTGGGTATTTGTATGAGACATCACAAATAGAAAAACCAAAATTTTTAAAACAATCCAGGCTGTTTTCCTATTTTCCCTAGGAAAACATTTATTTAAAAAGTGTTCCGTATATTATTCTTCATTCCCAAAGGTAGTTCATTGTAGAGAGAAATTGTACAAATAGAGATAAATGAAAAACAAAAATTTTTTGTGTGTGTGTGTGTGAGGAAGATCAGCCCTGAGCTAACATCCATGCTAATCTTCCTCTTTTTGCTGAGGAAGACCGACTCTGAGCTAACATTTATTGCCAATCCTCCTCCTCTTTTTTTTTTCCCCAAAGCCCCAGTAGATAGTTGTATGTCATAGTTGCACATCCTTCTAGTTGCTGTATGTGGGACGCGGCCTCAGCATGGCCGGAGAAGTGGTGCGTCGGTGCGCGCCCAGGATCCGAACCCAGGCTGCCAGTAGCGGAGTGTGCACACTTAACTGCTAAGCCACGGGACCGGCCCCAAAACAAAATTTTTTTAAGGTTACTCTTCCCCCAAATTGTTTTCCACGAAGATTATGTTGTGTTACATTACATATGTTAGCCATGCCCTTTTCCCTTTTACCATTGACACTTTGCTTACTTTCAGCCTTTATGTGTTTTAGGGCCAACCCTTTGGCCTTTCCCTATTAGGAAGTTATGAGCTCATGAGAAAAGTCACTGTTTTTTTATGACTTTGCTTTGTCTCTCTGCTCAGGGCATGGCAAAGAGTTTAGGGTGTGTTCTCAGGTATCTACGTAAGTCCCATCTTAGACCAAACCTGATACGCATGACTGGTGTTTTGGGTATTCTAGGTCCAAGAGTTTGGAGTCTGTGAAGTTCGTGACCTCAAACCCAATGGGGCCAACATCTTGGTAACAGAGGAGAATAAGAAGGAGTATGTACACCTGGTGTGCCAGATGAGAATGACAGGTAGGGGAAATGTCCCTTAGACCTCTTGTTGCTCAATATGGGAAGAGATCAAGCCTCACATGTTTCACAGACATTATTTCTTCTCTTCCCCTTTGCCAGCCACAAATGCCTTGCACAAAAGGAGTCCAAAAACCTGACCAATAATACTTCCCTTCATCCACCATCACACAGGGGCCTAGAAACAGTAGTAGGTGAGGCAGGCAGACCAGTCAGCATCCTAGTAGCGGCAGGAGCCAGACTGGGGATCTCTGATCTCTAACAGTTGTGCAAGTTCAGATGCCACATGGCTTGTTGGTTCTCTTCCAGGAGCCATCCGCAAACAGCTGGCAGCTTTCTTAGAAGGCTTCTATGAGATCATTCCAAAGCGCCTCATTTCCATCTTCACTGAGCAAGAGTTAGAGCTGCTCATATCAGGACTGCCCACAATCGACATTGATGATTTGAAATCTAACACTGAATACCACAAGTACCAGTCCAACTCTATTCAGGTGAGCTGCTGCTGGCATCCCTCCCCATATCCCTAAGCAGTGCTAGTTTGTATGACACCAAATAAACTAGTACTCTTAGGAGAAGGGGTTTGTGGATGACAGCCTACCTATACCTAACTCTTCTTCTGGAGCATATTTTCAGGTGATGTTCTTGCTCATCTTATGAATGGAGGAACTGAAGCTCGTCTCAAAGAAGAGACTTGTCTAAGATGCCACACCCCATCCCCCTTCCTTCCAGGAGCTCTCTACCTAACTCTGGCTTCTTGTGTCCCTTTCTGCAGATCCAGTGGTTCTGGAGAGCATTGCGTTCTTTCGACCAAGCTGACCGTGCCAAGTTCCTTCAGTTTGTTACGGGTACTTCCAAGGTGCCCCTGCAAGGCTTTGCTGCCCTTGAAGGCATGAATGGCATTCAGAAGTTTCAGATCCATCGAGATGACAGGTCCACAGATCGCCTGCCTTCAGCTCACACATGGTAAGAGGAAGGGTTTGTTTTCCTTTTCAGCATTCAGATTGAGTTTGCATATTTGCCGCTTCTAGGCCCTTAGCCAAGGTCAGGAACCCAAATCTGGCCCCAGCTACCCTGGACCTGGGGTAGCTCACAATTTGGTGGTTTTGTGGAGAAGGTGATGTTTGAGATGTGAAGCTGGCCCAGACTCACAGTGAGGCTGGGGAGGCATTGTAGGTGAACACCACCACATGACAGCATGGTATATTCCAGGGCTCAGTCTGGCTGGAGCAAGGAGTTGCAAGGAGCAGAAGGCTAAAGAATTCGGCAGATGTCAGATCACCCTGAATGCCTCCTTGGAGCTTGCGAGTTAGCCCCTAGGCAAGTCCTTGGTGTTTAAGGAGGAGTGACAGGGTCAGATTTTATGTTTTAGGTGCCTGGTGGCCAGTAATGGGGACAGATTACAGGAGAGCAGACCAAGCTAGGACAAGATTGGGAGTCTGCAGGAAGCAAGGAGTAGGTTCCCTCAGGAAGCAGAGGTCAAGTGGGCACCATGGGAACACAGGGATTTGGTTATCATCTTTTGTTACAAACTGATCTTTCTTCTTTCCCTAGTTTTAATCAACTGGACCTGCCTGCCTATGAGAGCTTTGAGAAGCTCCGCCACATGCTACTATTGGCCATCCAGGAGTGCTCTGAAGGCTTTGGGCTGGCCTAATAAGGCCCCGCCCACCACTGTGGAGTTTTTCTACCATTGTTGGACCCGGGAAGGGGGGAAATGGAAAACAAAAAAGAACTAGAAAGAAAATGTCAAAAACCAATAAATGAAATCCACCAACTCACCATGTCTGTGTCCCAGCTGCCCCATCTTCCCCAGTGCATACCTGTTCCCCCTCTCCTGCTCATTCTCTCTCCCCCCCTTTCTCTCTTCCTCACCTCCTCTCCCCATTCCATGCCGTCCATGATCCCCGCCCCATGTGTTTAAAAGGCAGTAAGTAGCCTTTGCAGGGACCTGTTTGTCCCAACTGTTTGAACAGTGTGCTCCTCAGATTCTGTGTTCAGAAGGATTTGCTGCATTGAGACTTGAAACCTTTGGATAGGGGAAAAAATTATATATATATATATTTTTTTGTTCTGTTTGCATTTCTTAATTTGTGCTTGGAATGTGTTGATGTGCACAGCTAATGATTCAATGCGAGACAAGATTGGCGTCTGTGTTGTGGAGGTTTCAAATAAAGAGCACTCTTCATAACTCACTTTTCACAATGGAGTTTTTTTCAAACTTAAAAGGAGAATAAACGACTCTTGAGCACATGCTAGCTGTCTGGAGAAAAGATCCAAATGGACTCTCCAGAAAACCATCTCTGCCACCACCACTAGTGCATCATCCTCCTTCAAAGTTGGGTCAGGAGAGAGCAGCAGCCACCAGGAATTGGGGGGAATTTTTTTCTTAGAGTGGGATCTGCGGGGCCGGCCCTGTGGCTTAGTGGTTAAGTGCGTGTGCTCTGCTGCTGGCGGCCGGGGTTCGGATCCCGGGCACGCACTGATGCACTGCTTCTCCAGCCATGCTGAGGCCACGTCCCACATACAGCAACTAGAAGGATGTGCAGCTATGACATACAACTATCTACTGGGGCTTTGGGGGGAAAATAAATAAAATCTTAAAAAAAAAAAAAAGAATGGGATCTGCACATGGGGGCAGTGATGGAGATTGCAGCCAAGGACAAAGCATCACCTTGCTCAAGGGGAACAAAGCAGCAGGTTGTAAGAAACGTTCTGAGAACTCACTCAACCCAACCAGTAGTTATATTTGGTGAGCCTTTATAACAATCTCAAGTCTGGGGCACAGCTTAAAATTTTGATTTCATTTATTGATGTTTTAGTTTTAACAATTTCTTGTTTTGGTGATGAAGGTTGGCACAGAGCTAACATCTGTTGCCAATCCTCTTTTTGCTTGAGGAAGATTGTCCCTGAGCTAACGTCTGTGCCAGTCTTCCTCTATTTTGTATGTGGGATGACTCCACAGCGTGGCTTGAGGAGTGGTGTGTAGGTCTGCACCCAGGGTCCAAACCTGTGAACTCCGGGTCACCAAAGTGTAGCATGCGAATTTAACCACTATGCTACTGGGCCAGCCCCTTCAACAAATTTTAGTAAGCAAATGGCTCTCTCTCCAGAAGAACAGTCTTCCCATCCTTTTTGTTTGTTTTTGCATCTGCCTGCCAGTCTGTTCACAGATTGCCCAGTAGTCTCTTGTGGTTCCCCAGTAGTCTCTTGTGGTTTTCACTCCATCTGGTGCTTAAAGCTGATCTAAGGACTTTGATGGTTCCAGCCTTCAAAGAAAAAAAAAGTTTAGTTAGAAAAGTAACTCCAAGTGGTGCTTGCTTTTTGTAGTTTTTCTTCTTCTCTGAGGCTCTACTTCTTAAAGATTTTCCCCTTGACCGTGTCCCAAAGTGTGGATCTAGGAAAGCTGTGGTGTGTCTTTAAACTCATCCCTTGGTCCTGATGCAGATGGCTGCTAGACATTTTTTCCTTTTTTTCAGTATTCACACTTGTCTGTGCCTGGCCCTGCTGATGACTGGGGAGACAGATGAATCAAATTTGTCCCTGCTATTGAGCTGCTAAGTCAAGGGGAGGAGACTGATCAGTTCTCTGCAGATGTAGGAAGGGGGTCTCTGGGTGCCCAGAGCAGAAATACCTAACCTGGAAGATCAGGGAAGGCCTTCCATTGTCAGTGGTACTTGTAAGTTGAATCATAAAGCTGTATGGGAGTTAAGATTAAGGAGGGGAGGGTAATCTAGATCAAGGCAGCAGGAGACCAGTTGATATGGCATGGCTTCAGCAAAGAATGGTGGCCTGAGATGAGGCTGGGAGTCCAGCAGGGCTTTAAAATGAAAGGAGTAAATAAGCAGAAATATGGTAGAATTGATCAATAAGCTTAAGAACTGGTTCTTTGAAAAATCAATGTAGAAGAAAGCTCTGACAGATCATTTAAATTTGAAAGGGGTACAGGAGTTGACAGGTGGGGAAGCTGGGAGTCTAGATGGAATAACCCTGAAGGAAAAGAAAGTGAATCTGATTCAATGACATGCTACAAAAACCTAACGTGACCAAGTGCGATTTGCCTTTGGGATATGCATATGGCGTAATAACATTCATCACCTCAATGTCATGAGAAAAATAGATGGAAGGCATTTGCTAACATTCAATAACTAATCCTGGTAACTTTTAAAGGTAGAGATACTTCCTTGCTAAGGTAGCGTCAGACCAACAACGAACATCACACTGGAAGCATAAGGTGGCCAATTATCACCATTAACACTGTTCTGCAAGTTCTAACCATGTCAGTTTTAAAGCAGGAAACAAGGTATAACTAGTTGCTAAATCAAGAGAATCAAGTTATTAGAACTTAAAACTGAGTCCAACAAGAGGGAGGCCTGGATATAGTGAGCAAAATACATAACCTTATTATCCAACAAGTATAAATGGTAATGAATACAATGGAATTCTATACAGCCATAAAAATATAGCCATTGCATATGTCAACATGAATGATCTCGGTAAGTATGAGACTTGCTTAAAAGTTACAGAACGATACTATGCACATATGTACCAAGAGCATGAAAAACCACATCCATGTATTTGAAGACTATGAAAACTCATGCATGAGTATGACAAAGTACTGCATGATGTTCAGGATAAGCTATGGAGGACAGAAGGGGATGCAGTTGGGAAGAGGCAATTACACAGAGGACTTCAACTACATTGGTGATGTTTTGTTCCTTAAGCTGGATGTTGCTGGGTACGTGGATGTTCCTTATAATACTATATACTATAATAGTTTAATAACTTTTATATACCTGAAATAGTCCATAATAATTTTTTTGAGATAATTTGTTGAATTTCACAATGCATGTAAGGTAGGTAGCAGGGGAGTCAACAACAGGCCTAATTCTGCATGAAAGCTAATTAATAGCTGTTTGCATTATATGATTAAACATCTCTGTTTGCCACCTAATAATTCCCTCCACTGATCTGTCTGTTATGATTATCACTGGTTATCTCCTTATTAAAATATTCCCCTTCTCTTATAATTAGGGTGACCATATAATTTATCATCCAAAGTTGGACAAATTTAAGAATAAAAAGGGTGCTATTATGCTGGGCCACAGGTGCAAACAAACCAGATAAACTGGGGTGTATGGCTCTATACTTATGATGATACAATTATTACCCATCATAAACAAAATAATTTTATTGAGCACTTACCATGTACTGACAACACTGAGAAGTCGGTGCTTTCCAGAAACTCACTGAAGGGAAGGAGGCAGGTGTTAGGAAAGTACAGGGGGCGATGGGTACACAGACTTAATAAGCAGAGGTAGCAGGATTAAACATTTTCTCAAATACAAGCAATAACCAGTTAGAAAACAACAGGAAATAGATACGCTTCACAACAGTAACATAAAATACTAAAAATAACCTTAAAAAACAGTGTTTGCGACCCATGTGAAGAAGAAAACTGCAAAACTCTTGTGAGAAGCATAAAAAGAGGCAAGTAAATGAAGAGGTTTATTGTGTTACAAATATAGCTGACCTTGAGACTTTTGGGAACAAACTGACATGCTAAGCAAGGTGGGAGTTGAAATGGGCAGACCTGACAGAAAATGGCCTCAGCCATGAATATTTGACATGCTGTGGTCTACTGTAAAAAGAAAATGAAGCACCAAGAGCTGGTTGGGGAAGGAATAGCTTTGTCAGTGTTAAGGTTGGGAAACCTGCCTAAGTATTGGGAGGTGAAAAAATATAAAGTTTGCTTTGCACGTCACACTAAATAAATTTCCAAATGGAAGATTCAAGCATGAAAAACGTGAACTTTTTTTTAAAGCACAAAATGAAAAATATGGGCAAATAACTGATCCGGGATATGGAAAATCTTTCTAACGCTAAAAACTGCAAAAGACATCATAATGGAAAAGAGTGATATATTTGACTAAAACGTTGGCAACACCACAAACAGAATTAAAAAGCAATGACAATGTAGGAAAAAATACATCTCTAACAGGCAATGGGTTACTCCTGAATATACATATTTTTTTTAAACTTACAAATCACTAAGAGACAAATCGCCAACAGAAAAGCATGCAAGGACATGAAAAGGCAATTCACAAAAGAAGAAATATAAATAATCAATAAGTATATAAAATGCTTACCTCTGTGAGAATTATTACCTCTGTAACAAAAATCCATTGAAAGCTTGATGAAAACCACTTACCAAATTGAGATATATCTGCGTGTGTGTGTGTGTGCTAACATGGGTGGGAGAGAATATGAAGAAACAGGCACTGTTATACACTGCTGAGAAAATGGCACAACCTTTCTGATGGGGCATTTTGTAATATCTACTGAAAAAGAGGAAAGCAGCCCCTAACTTCTGGGAGCTGGCCTGGCATTCACAGTTAGGCCTTGGTGTTCTCCTGTTGAACATAAAAAATTTCACAGAATGACAGACAAGCCCACTCTGTGACCATGATGGATTAGGACAAATTTGAGACCACTCCAAAGTCATGTCTGAACTGTCAACACAAATAATCCATAACCAATCTATAAATCAAAATTGGGGTGAGTTTATTGTGAGCCAACTTTTGAGGATCATATAGCCTGAGAGAGTCCTTTCACAAAGAAATGGAGCACTCCAAAGAAGTGGGGTGTACAGAGTGGTTATATACCATCAAAGAGCATGTATCACATATGATTGCAATGTCCCTTTTACAATAGCCGCAACATTGACCTGTCAGCACGTCGATTGATGGACACTGGGTATCAGGTCTGCTGTCTCCATGGGCGTGGCTGGTGGCAGGTCTGTTGTCTTGAGTTGGGTAGTCACAGGATGAGTGCAGCAATCAAATCCTAGCCTAGAGAGAAATGCTTATCCTTAAGGAAATGCCAATGTGGGGGAAGTTGCATTTATATCTTAAGGGCATTGTTCTTGTCTTTGGGACATGTTAATTGCTTAAAGCAGATATACAATGAATGAACAGAGGCTACAGCTCCTTTTTGGGAAAAAAAAAAAGGTCAGGCCTAATTAGTTTTACACCAAATGGCTTCCTCATATGCTCCAATATATCCTATTTCTTGCCATTTATTTATCAGAACACAGACAAAACATAAACATTGTCCAAACCACAAAAATTAACCAAACATCCCCTATCCTGATTAATATGAGTGGCCGCTTTTTTTTTTTTTTAACCAATTACAGCTTTAGCCTCTCTCTAGTCTGTCCTCTCTATAGAGCAGATGTATTAGCATACCCATTCATAAAATTATCCCCACTTCTGGATAGTATTCAATCTAGAGCAAAACCTCACTTCCTTAAACATCCCCAAATCACCTAACACAAGCCCAAGTCCTACGATACATCTTTCCTTTTACTGAGGTGCCCACAGTTCCCCATGCTGTGCGTTCTCCCTCACTGCCAACTTTCTCAACTCAGGACAGGTTCGGCTCCTGGCCTTTGGCTGCAGTGGCATTGACACTATGAAGAACCTTAAAACATACATAGTAAGGTGCCAAATGGTATGTATCCTATAATTCTGTTAATGCTTTTTAATATCCACAAATTCAGAAAGAAACTGGCAGCCCAAACTTTTGGGCTTGCAGACACAACATGGGATGTGTGTGTGTGTGCGTGTGTGTGTGTGCGTGTGTGTGTGCGCGTGTGTGTGTGTTAATGTGAACAGTTTGGGGTGGACATGTCTTCTGTAGGTCCTACACTCGTTATCACTTATAGCCTCCTGCTTTGTTCACTCATTCATTCAACAAACATTTATTGAGCACCTACTGTGTGCCAGGCTGGGGATCTGGCAGTGAACACATCAGACATAAATTGCTGCCATCATGAAGCTGACATTCTAATAAAGAAGGCAGACAATAACCAAATACGTCAGGGAGTGAGTGACATATTTTCTTCTCTGAAGAAAAATAAAGCAAAGTAAAAGGATAGAGAGTTGAGTGGGGGAGGCTATTTTAGTTGGGGTGGTCAGAGGAAAGCCTCTGTGAGGAGGTGACATTTGAGCTTGGAAGACCTGCTTGGAAGAAGTGAGGGCATAAGCCATTGGGGCATCTGAAGGAAGAGTGTTCCAGGCAGAGGGACTAGCCAGTGTAAAGGCTCTGATATGCATGGCATCTAGAAGGAACACCAGTGCGGCTCTAGGGAGGTGAATGATGGGAAGTGTCATAGGAGTTGATCAAGGTCAGAGAGGTAGACAAGGACCAGATCTGAGGCTTTTATTCTGAGTAAGGTGGGAACTACCAAAGGGTATTGCGCAGAGGAGATGTGATCCTAGACCTCTCTAGCTGCTCATGGAGAGTGGGAAAGGCCAGCGTGGAGGCCGGGAAAGCCTGAGGAGGCTGCTGCTGTCTTCTTCCAAGCAGGACACAAGTTACCTGCCAGGACTCTGGAAAGAGTCCTTAATAGGCTTATGTATGCATGGGGGGGCGGGGACAAGGCATTGTTAAAGTGATAGGGGACTAGGGGCCTGAGGTGAGTCAGAGCCTCACCCTTGATGCTTGAAGTTTTTGTCCGTATTATTATTATTGTTGTGTTTTCATTGTCTGTTTTTCAACCCTCACCATGTATTTCTACAATTAAAAACAAACTGCCTAGGGGTCCACCTGGTGGCATAGTGGTTAAGTTCGCGCCCTCAGCTTCCGTGGCCAGGGGTTCCCAGGTTTGGATCCCAGGCACGGACATACATACCACTCATCAAAGCCATGCTGTGGTGGCAACCCACATACAAAATGGAGGAAGATTGGCACAGATGTTAGCTCAGGGCCAACCTTCTGTTAGCTCAGGACCAATCTTCCTCACAAGATAATAATAATAAATAAATAGCCTAGTTTCAATGGGCACGCCCCACCCCCCACGCAATCCTTAGGAACTAGACGCACCTCGCCCAGCCCTGCGTGCCCACCACAGTGAGGCCTCGCCCAACTAGTCCTGGTTTTAGTACTGAAAGTCCCCCGGGGGTTTTAGTACTGAAAGTCCCCCGTCCGAACCGGGATGGTTGGTCCCCCTCTGTGAGCCGACTTGCTCCTCTGCCAGAGGAGAGGAGGCGTCCTGGCGGGCTCCTCCCCAGCGCGCAGAGCCTCCCCAGGCGAGTTCTGCCCGGCAACCCGAGCCATTCCCATTTCCCAGCCGCCTCTGCCCAGAGCCGCTCAGCCTGAGGCCCCTCCCCGGCACCGCCTGTCCTGGACCCCGCCTCTTCCTGGAAAATCAGCGTGTGTGACTCTCTGTAACTGGATAACTTAGGGGAGGGAGCATTGTTACTGTGTCCGGGAGATTGTGTGTAGGTCTACCTGCAAGTGATTATATGACTGGGTATGACTGTGTACATGGCTGATTGTGCGTGACCGAATGGGCTTGTGGGGACTGTTATTGTGTGTCTGTGGTTCCAGGAGTGGGTATGTGTCTGTGTGACTGTGTGACCACGTGTAGCTGGGATCTGGTGTCTTGAGTTATGGTGACTGTGTGAATGTCAGTCAATACTTGATGGGAAAGAGTGGCCATCAGTGAGTGTGTCTGTGTTTCTAGGACAAGGGGTGTGTGCGTGTGTGTGTGTGTGTGTGTGTGTGTGTGTGTGTGTGACTGTGTGAGCACACGCCTGCATGGGATTGCTTCTGTATTTGGAACTGGCTTTCTTGTGGCCAAAAAGTGTCTCTGTGTGTCCCTGGGTCTCTCTGGGCTTGTGTGTCACTCTTGAATAGTAGTGAGGCCCATAGGTTCTGGAGTCAGACAGACTGGCCTGGGTACAAATCCTGGCTCTGCTACTTACTGGCCAGGTAACCTTGGACAAAATACTGAACCTCTGTGTTCCTCCTCAGTTCCCTTATCTGCAAAATACAAACCCTAATCATTTCTACCTGGTGGAGCATAAAATGAAGCAATGCTTATCTGGTGCTCGGCACAGTGCCTGGCCTTCGGGAAGCACTGGGTAAACATCAGCTCATACTAACATGTGGCTATATCTGCAGAAGTGTGCACCTGTGATTCTGTCTGCATTTCAGAGATCATGCATCTATGTGTGGCTCTCATGGGTTTCATCAGTTCAAGAAATATTAATTTGGCACCTACTAGATACCAGGCACTGAAGCAGACACTGCATATGCAATTATGAAAAAAACAAACCAGCCACAGCCCCTGCCTTCAATCAACTGCCACCTTCAGGATCTGACCACACTGACCACCTTTAACACTAGAGATATACTTGCTGATGTGCAAAATTGCATAGACACAAATGTATTGCGGGAAAGGGTCAGAGATGATTTAAATCAATGGGTGACTAACTACACCTGTTATAGTCCATCCTCATTATGCCCTTTAGGCCTCTTGGAGTCAGTAGTTTCTCACCCTTCCTTTATTTTTTTGTTCTCTATTTTGTTCCATTGATCTATTTTTTTATCTTGATTCCAATACCATGCTATTTTGATTACTGAAGCTTTATAATAAGCCTTGAAATCAGGTCACGTTGGGCCCTCCAACTTTGTTCTTCTCTTATAACATTGTTTTGGCAATTCTAGGTCCATTGCATTCCATATGAATTTTGTAATCAGCTTGTCAATTTTTGCCCAAAAAAGCCCCCTGGTATTTTGATTGGGATTGTATTGCATCTATAGATTAATTTGAGGAGAACTGACATTGCAACAATATTGAGTATTCCAATCCATGAACATGGTATATCTCTCCATTTATGTAGGTCTTCTTTAATTTCTCTTAGCAATATTTTGCTTTTCAGTGTAAAGGACTTGCAAGTCTTTTGATAAGTTTTTCCCTAAGTATTTTATCTTTTTTATGGTATTATATTTTTAATTTCAATTTGACTATTCATTGATAGTGTATAGAAATACAATTGATTTTTTTCTATTAAACATGTATCCCATAATCTAGCTAAACTCACTTATTAGTTCTAGTAGCCTTTTTGTAGATTCCATATGATTTTCTACATAGATAATCATGTTGTGTGCAAGTAAAAACAGTTTTATTTCTTCCTTTCCAATCAATCTGACTTTTATTTCTTTTTCTTGCCTTATTGTCCTGGTTAGACCCTCCAGTGCAATGTTAAACAGAAATGGTGGGAGTAGGCCTCCTTGCCTTTTTCCTGATCTTAGGGTGAACACACTCTGTCTTTTATCTTTCAGAATGAAATTAGCTGAGCCAGCCCTGATGGCCTATTGGTTAAAGCTTGGCATGCTCCTTTTCAGTGGCCCGGGTTCGGTTCCCCAGCATGGAACCACGCCACTCATCTGTCAGTAGCCATGCTGTGGAGGCAGCTCACATAGAAGAACCAGAAGAACTTACAACTAGACACAACTATGTACTGGGGTGTTGGGGGGGTGGGGGGAAGATTGGTAACAGATGTTAGCTTAGGGCAAAGCTTCCTCTGCAAAAACAAAAAAAAAGAATGAAATTAGCTGTAGTTTTTATGTAGGTGCCCTTCCTCAGGTTGAAGAAGCCCCATAATTGCTTATTTTCTAAGAGATTGTTTTTTGTTTCTTTTTTTAAATATCAGAAATGGATGTTGGATTTTATCAAATGCTTTACTGGCATCAGTTGAGATGATCATATGGTTTTTCTTTATTAGTCTGTTAACATGGTGAATTATATTGATTGGTTTTCAAGTGTTAAACCAACCTTGTATTCCTGGCATAAAATCCCACTTGGTTATGATGTATTATCCTTTTTATATATTGTGTTGGATTTGACTTGCTCAAATTTTGTTAAAAACTCATGTATCTAGGTTTATGAGGGATATTTGATCTGTAGTTTTCTTTTATCACAATGACTTTATCTAATTTTTTAAAGATTTTATATATTTATTTTCTTTCCCCCCAAAGCCCCAGTAGATAGTTGTATGTCATAGCTGCACATCCTTCTAGTTGCTGTATGTGGGACACAGCCTCAGCATGGCCGGAGAAGCGGTGCGTCGGTGCGCGCCCGGGATCCAAACCTGGGCCCCCAGCAGCGGAGCGCGTGCACTTAACCACTAAGCCACGGGGCCGGCCCTATCTAATTTTTTAAAATAGACTATTTTTTGGAGCAGCTTTAGATTCATAGCAAAATTGAGCAGAAGGTACAGAGATTTCCCATATACCCCCTGCCCCCACATGTGCATAACCTCCCCCATTATCAAAATCCTGCACCAGAGTGGTACATTTGTTACAATTGATGAACCTATATTAATACATCATAATCACCCAAAGTCCATAGTTTACATTAGAGTTCACTCGTGGTGTTGTACATTCTATGGGTCTGGACAAATGTATAATGACATGTACCCACTACAGTGTCATACAGAGTAGTTTCACCGCCCTAAAAATCCTCTATGCTCTGCCAATTCAACCCTCCCTTCCTTCCCCTAACCCCTGGCAACCATTGATCTTTTTACTGTTTCCATAGTTTTGCCTTTTCCAGAATGTCATATAGTTGGAACCATATGGTATACAGCATTTTCAGATCAGCTTCTTTTACTTAGTAATATGCATTTAAGGTTCCTCCATGTCTTTTCATGCCTTAATAGTTCATTTCCATTTAGCATTGAATAATATTCCATTGTCTGGCTGTACCACAATTTATCTATTCACTTATTGAAAAACATCTTGGTTGCTTCCAAGTTTTGGCAATTGTGAATAAAGCTGCTACAAATATCCATGTGCAGATTTTTGTGTGGACATAGTTTTCAAATTCCCTTGGGTAAATACCAAGGAGTACAATTGCTGGATGGTATGGTAAGAGTATGCTTAGTTTTGTAAGAAACTACCAAACTGTCTTCCAAAGTGGTTGTACCATTTTGCATTCCACTGGCAATGAATAAGAGGTCCTGTTGCTCCACATCCTAGCCAGCATTTCTGTTGTCAGTGTTCTGGATTTTGGCCATTCTTATAGGTATGTAGAGGTACCTTATTGTTGTTTTCATTTGCATTTCCCTAATAACATAGGATGTGGAGCATCTCTTCATATGTTTATTTGCCATCTATATATCTCCTTTGGTGAGGTGTCTATTAAGGTTTTTGGCCCATTTTTTAATTGGGTTGTTCATTTTCTTGCTATTGAGTTTTAAGAATTCTTTGTATATTTTGGATAACAGTCCTTTATCAGATATGTCTTTTTCAAATATTTTGTCCAAGTCACTGACTGGTCTTTTCATTATCCGGACAGTGTCTTTTGCAGAGCAGAAATTTTTAATTTTAATGAAGTCCACATTATCAATTCTTTATTTCATGGATCATGCCTTTGCTGTTGTATCTAAAAAGTCATTGCCACAATACTGGAGGAAATAACCCAAGCTGAATAGATAAAAGAAAAAAGAATTAAAAAGAGTGAGGATAGTCTAAGGGACCTCTGGGACAACATCAAGTGCACTAACATCCATGTTATAGGTGTCCCAGAAGGAGAGGAGAGAGACAAAGGGACAGAGAATCTATTTGAAGAAATAATAGCTGAAAAATTCCCTAACCTAAGGAAGGAAATAGACATCCAGGTACAGGAAGCACAGAGAGCATCAAACAAGATAAAACCAAAGAGGCCCACACCAAGACACATCAAAATTAAAAGGTCCAGAATTAAAGATGAAGAGAGAAGAGCTGCAAGAGAAAGACAACAAGTTACGTACAAAGGAAACCTCATAAGGCTATCAGCTGACTTCTCAGCAGAAACCATATAGGCTAGAAAAGAGTGGCATGATATATTTAAAGTGCTAAAAGGAAAAAACCTACAGCCAAGAATACTCTACCTGGCAAGGTTATCATTCAAAATGGAAGGAGAGATAAAAAGTTTCCAAGACAAGCAAAAATTAAAGGCATTTATCACCAAGAAACAAGTCCTATGAGAAATGCTAAAGGTACTTATTTAAGAGGGAAAGAGAAGACCACAAATAGGAAAAATTACCTATTTCTATGATAAGAGGGTAACGGATACAAACGCACTAAAAATAAAAGAGGTTAGATATGATATCAAAACATAAAATGTGGGAAGAGGGGAGTAAAAGAGGAGAGCTTTCAGACAGAGGTCAAACTAAAGAGACCATCAACTTAGTATAGATTGCTATATGCCTAGGTTACTATATATGAACCTCATGGTAATCACAAACCAGAAACCTATAATAAATACACAAGAAACTAAGAGAAAGTAACCCAAACATAATAATAAAGAAAGCCATCAAACCACAAGGGAAGAGAGAAAGAGAAGAAGAAAAGAACAGAGAAGAACTACTAAAACACCAAGAAAAAAAGCTTAAAAATGGCAGTAAGTACATACCTCTCAATAGCTACTTTAAATGTCAATGGAGGGCCGGCCTCGTGGCTTAGCGGTTAAGTGCGCACGCTCAGCTGCTGGCAGCCCGGGTTCGGATCCCAGACGCGCACCGAGGAACTGCTTCTCTGGCCGTGCTGAGGCTGTGTCCCACATACAGCAACTAGAAGGATGTGCAACCATGACATACAACTATCTACTGGGGCTTTGGGGGAAAAATAAATTAATTTAAAAAAATGTCAATGGACTAAATGCTCCAATCAAAAGGTATAGGGTGGCTGATTGGATAAAAAAACAACCACATATATGCTGCATGCAAGAAACACTTCAGACCTAAAGACACTCACAAACTGAAAGTGAAGGGATGGAAAAAGATACTCCATGCAAATGGCAATGAAAAACTGGGGTAGCAGTACTCATATCAGACAAAATAGACTTTAAAACAGAAACTGTAACAAGAGACAAAGAAGGGCACTACATAATGATCAGGGGAACAATACAACAAGAGGATATAACACTCGTAAATATCTATGCACCTAACATAGGAGCACCTAAATATATAAAGCAATTATTAACAGACATAAAAACAGAAATAGACAGTAACACAATAATAGTAGGGGACTTGAACACTCCGCTTACACCAATGGATAGATCATCCAAACAGAAGATCAATAAGGAATCATTGGCCTTAAATGACACATTACACCAGATGGACTTAGTAGATATACACAGAACATTCCATCCAAAAGCCACAGATTACACATTCTTTTCAAATGCACACAGAACGTTCTCCAGGATAGATCATATATTAGGCCACAAAAGAAGTCTCCATAAATTTAAGAAGATTGAAATAATACCAAGCATCTATTCTGACCACAATGGTATGAAACTAGAAATCAACTATAGGAAGAAAATCAGAACAGCCACAAATACGTGGAGATTAAACAAAATGCTACTGAACAATGATTGGGTCAATGAAGAAATCAAAGGAGAAATCAAAAAATACCTGGAGACAAATGAAAATGAAAATATGACATGCCAGGATTTATTGGATACAACAAAAGTGGTTCTAAGAGGGAAGTTTATAGCAATACAGGCCTACCTCAACAAACAAGGAAAATCTCAAGTAAACAATCTAATAGTGCACCTAAACGAAATGGAAAAAGAAGGACAAACAAAGCCCAAAAACCATAGAAGGAAGGAAATAATAAAAATCAGAGCAGAAATAAATGAAATAGAGACTAAAAAAATATATACATATATGGGCCGGCCCCATGGCTTGGCTGTTAAGTGCGTGCGCTCCGCTGCTGGCAGCCCGGGTTCGGATCCCGGGCACCCACCGATGCACTACTTCTCTGGCCATGCTGGGGCCACGTCCCGCATGCAGCAACTAGAAGGATGTGCAACTGTGACGTACAACTATCTACTGGGGCTTTGGGGGAAAAAAATAAATAAAATTATAAAAAAATAATAGAAAAAATTAATGAAACCAAGAGCTGGTTCTTTGAAAAGATACACATTATTGACAAACCTTTAGCTAGACTCACCAAGAAAAAAAGAGAGAAGGCTCAAATAAATAAAATCAGAAATGAAAGAGGAGAAATTACAATGGACACCTCAGAAATACAAAAGATTATCAGAGAATACTACAAAAAGCTCTATGCCAACAAATTGGACAATCTGGAAGAAATGGATAAATTCTTAGAATCATACAACTTCTCAAACTGAATCAAGAAGAAATAGAGAATTTGAACTGACCAATCACCAGCAAGGAGATCAAAACAGTAATCAAAAACCTCCCAAAAAATAAAAGTCCAGGACCAGATGGCTTCCCTGGTGAATCTACTAAACATTCAAAGAAGACTTAATACCTATTCTTCTCAAACTCTTCCATAGAATTGAAGAGGAGGGGAAGCTTCCTAACTCATCCTATGAAGCCAACACTACCCTGATACCAAAACCAGACAAGGACAACACAAAAAAAGAAAATTACAGGCCAATGTCAATGATGAACATCAATG